TTCTCGTTTTCGTATGTTTTGGGGAAAGACTTTAACAGAGGCTGCTAAAAAATTATCTGCTGCAAACAACTTTTCCCCTCCCCTCCTACCCAACCCTCTTCCCAGACCATAACTACCAAGCAGAGGCAGAGTAATCCCCCACCCCACCCCAAACGACATACTTTCCTTTGCCAGCTCCTCTGATTTTTGCCTTGCTGTTTGCCAAGCTCTGTCAGGAAGGTCACAGGTCTGTGTTTTTCAGGGTAGTTTGCGGGTAACTGATAACAGGGGCTTGAACTACAACAAGTTTGTGGGTTTAGCATCTAGCTGCAAACGTGGTGTTCCGCCAAGTGCGGCAGCTGGAGATGGAGGCCTGGCTCCCCACCAAGTGGTGGCAGTTTTCAGCTGGTCTGTCTCCTTTGCAGAGGGAGTTTTGTAAATGGAAAACTGGGAAGCTGCAGGAAGACGTTAAGGGCTGTTTGCAGTTGAACTCAGTGTGATTTTAAAGGATTTGCCACGGGTTAGACAAAACAGAGGCCAAATTTCTGCCCCCATTCCCCTCCGCTGCCCCATGGTAGAAGGGGGTAAACCAGGATTTGTCAGGGCAGCAGATGAACTGTGGCACAGTGATGTAAAGCACAGTGTATGAGAAAGCCTTGTACAAGAGATCATAAGGATTAAGGTGCCTTTGTCTCTTCTGCATGGATGTCCCTGAAGTCTTGTCCCTGCACTTGGGGCTGGCCCAGGGAAGCCTTGCTCCGTGCATACCAACTGGGAGATGCTAGCACTGGGACAGATTTCAGGGCAGCCTTGCTGTGGGTCAGGCTCCCTGGGAGCCTCGGATGTGTGCCAGTGCTGCCAGCACTGCAATCTGCCAGAGACGGTTAGTGGGGTGCCCAGGTCCTTCCTGTCTCCAGCAAACCCTGGTGACAGCAGTTCCCCTAAGGCCAGCAGGTTTCATCACATGGGTGAGGGTTCCCACAGCTAGCAAGGTGCTTGAGGCTTCCTGAGATGAAACCCTGTGGGGATAGGGTGCAGACAGAAAGTCAACTAAGAACTTAATTAAATCTATCTTGCAAGTGGGCTGGAGGGATGGACATCACTGCAGAGAGCATGGATACATTCCCCAATTATTTCCTTATGCTTCAAAAAAATCAGGGCACATACCCTTGGTCCTGAGTGCCTGCAGCCCAGTCAGTGGGATATAACCAGTGTTGTGCTGGGGGAAGCTACAAAGGCAAAGGGCAGTGAAGCGCATCTGCCACTGAGGTGCTCAACTCAGGAGCTCAGTTTAAGGGCAGCAGTTTTGACTCTGAGCTGGGACTGCAGGCCAGGACAAGGGAGTACGATTATGTCAGCCAGCTGTGGGAGAGGGGAAGATCATCCTGCCACACCTAATCCTTGCAAAAACTCCTACGTAATTGCTGTCTCAGCTCTATCGGCATTTGGTGTTTGTGTCCCGGGTCATCAAGATAAGCTCTTTTTCCAGAAAAGCTGGCAGCAACAGCCCCTAAGCATCCCCTCATCCCTCTCAGTGGAGGCTGCTCCTGCCTTGGCCTCCCATACCACACCTCTCTGCACCCAAACCTGCTGGGCTGTCTCACAGCACCCCTTGCTGCCTCCCTCATATACCTTTGCCTATTAATTAAGTCATCAGGTCTAAAGAGGGAGGCAAAAGCCACACATGGCACCTTCAAGGCAGTGCGGCACCAGCACTCACGTGCCGCATGCAGCTGGGCTAGTGTGAGTCAGTGGCAGGGCTGGGGACACATCCTAGTGCCAGTGCTCTGGACCAGTTTTCCCAGTAACATGGTGTCCTCCTTCATTGTAGGTTTGGGAGATCATCAAGAGTCTGGCAGCGACGCTGACAATAATTGCCTCTGTGGGAGGTGACTAAAACCAAAGAGATGGAAAGACGACGACCATGCAAATGACAGGGACAGAAACAGATGTCCCACCTGTAACCTTTGCTGTAGCAATGCTTTTGGAGAGCTTAGTGGGAAACTAAAGTGTCAGAAGTTTCATATATTGCTTAGGCTGAATCCCTTTTCAGCCCCTTTTGAAGTATCTCTGGTATCAGCAATCAACTCCAGAGGCTCGGACACCAGGTAGGGGGAGGGGACATCAGTGAGGGTGTCTTGCTCCTGGAACACCGCCTTGCACGTCAGCTGGCACAAGGCCTTTCTACCTCTCACTGGAGTGTTCCTCGGTGCTGGGAGGTGAGCCAGCACAGCCCCCCACAGCAGCACACACCTCCTCTCACCCCCGGGACGAGATGGCCGCCCTCATCGCTGAGAACTTCCGCTTCCTCTCCTTGTTCTTCAAGAGCAAAGACGTGATGATCTTCAATGGTTTGGTGGCCCTGGGCACAGTGGGGAGCGAGGAGCTCTTCTCGGTTGTTGCCTTCCACTGCCCCTGCTCCCCTGCCCGCAACTACATCTATGGGCTGGCTGCCATTGGTGTCCCAGCCCTGGCCCTCTTCCTCATTGGCATCATCTGGAACAACCACACCTGGAACCTGGTGGCCGAGTGCCACAAGCGTGGTGTCAAGAACTTCTCTGCTGCTGCCACCTTCCTCCTCTTTGGCTCCATCATGGGCCGGGCAGCTGTGGCACCCGTCACCTGGTCGGTCATTTCACTGCTGAGAGGGGAAGCTTTCATCTGTGCCCTCAGTGAGTTTGTCAAGCCATCCTCCCTGGACAAGTTTCCACCTGAGTACGGGGCTGAGGTGCTGGCCAGGTTCCCCTGCAGAGATGTACCGGCAAACCTCACCAAGTTCAGGGACGAGGTGACACGGAGGCTGAGATACGAGTCCCAGGTAGGCACGCCAGGGGAAAAGCCACATGGAGTGGGTAAGACCACCTTGCCATGTCCTAACGCAGCCTCTCTCTTCTCTCTCAGCTCTTTGGCTGGCTGCTCATTGGCATCGTTGCAGTCCTGGTTTTCCTCACCAAGTGCCTGAAGCACTGCTGCTCGCCACTGAGCTACCGGCAGGAGGCTTACTGGGCCCAGTACCGCTCCAATGAGGACAAGCTCTTCCGACGTACAGCCGAGGTCCACTCCAAGATCCTGGCAGCCAAGAATGTGAAGCACTTCTTTGGCTTCGTGGCACTGGACAAGGAGGAAAAGGAGCTGGTGCAGGAGTTCCCAGTGGAGGGCGTCCAGCCGAGCCCCCAGTGGAATGCCATCACAGGTGTCTACATCTACCGGGAGAACAAGGGCTTCCCCCTCTACAGCCGGCTCCACAAATGGGCCAAAGGAGTGGAAGGGAATGGGCCAACCCCAGAAGGCCATGAACTCCTCTTTTTGGCTTCCTAAGACAGATGGGTGATGGCAGCGGTTCCCCAGACTGCCTGGCAGGCCTTCCATACCATTGCACAGTGAGGGATTCACTGGGAACATTCCTCCCGGCAGGATTACTTCTCTCAGAAGGCAAACAGGGACCAACAGCCTCAAGGCAGAGAGTAGAAAGCAACACACTGAACTGGGGAACCCCTCCCTCAGAGAACAGTCTCACTGCTGCTCCCAGAGACACGGGTGAGCAAAGAGAAGGTGCAGCCCCTACCTCCAGGCTGCCAGTGCATCCCATCTGATGCTGCAGCAGAAGCCTTCAGGAGTGAGAGATGGGCACAACATTTCTCACTGTGACTCCTCCAGTCCCACTTGTCTCCCCCGTGGCAGAGTTAGCCCCAGCCATCCCGCACATCTACTTGTTTTATTGACATTGGTATCTTCTTACCGCAGTTGTGCAATGCCTGTTACACAGGCAGGCCCAGAGCAGTTTACAGACTTTACAGTACAGGGAAAAGAAGGAAACAGTAAATTCCTGTGGAAAGGGGGATGCAATATCATCTCGGAAGGAACGGATCAGTAATATAGCCACACACCAAATAACTGAAAGACTAAGGCAGGAGGAATCACCAATATTCCTGGTATTCAGAAAGGCACTCTGTAATTATTAAGTTGAAATTTGGGTAGGACACCAACCTCCCTTTGTTCTTACTGAAGTGCCTAACAATTGCCAATGAGCCCAAATGGTCATCCCCATTTTATAAACCTGGGGGAGGCCATCAGCAGAATAGTTTTTGGGCAAGGTGGTGAGGTGGAGGCTGAGAGGAATCACTACAGTGAGCCACACCACTGTCTGCAGCTCATTGAATTTCTCATCCAACCATCGGATAAGTTGTCTTTTTTCGGGTTGCAAGTTGCAGGATGACCTCAACCAGAATTAGTTTTACATATGTATATATAAACATATATATAGTGTATATACTACCTAACTGTAGTTAGTTAGTTGTATTAATGGAGCATCTTTCTTGGAGGGGAAGGGCGATGAGAAAGCTGCCAGCTAAAAAAGCACATTGCATACCCCCATCTGCTGCACTGGGACTGCAGCCCTGGAACAACGAGGGAAAGAACAGGATGGGGAAGCAGCCCTCTCCCTACCCTTCTACCACTGAATTTTCTAAAACTCTTTCCACTGCCTTAAATGGTCCCTGTGAACAGAAGGTCTCTTTTATGGACTTGGCCATACTCTGAGAAAGCAAAACCAGAAGGGTGTAAAATTACTGCCCTCACCATGACAGTGTGACTATGGCTTCAAGGCTGCTCTTCTGGCATTGCACAGTCCCTCTTCTCCCAAGGGTCAGCCCTATGTACACAACACTGTTTCAAGAGCTGGCAGGACAGTGAAATTTGTTTTTCCTAGTTGTACTGTTTCATTTTAGGTACAACTTCCTTTTACACTGTACCATCTACCAAAAAGCCTTAAGTTGTTCAAAAAACTGCTCAAACTCACAGAACTCAGAGGGGCTTACATACAAGAAGATTTGAAATAAATTATTAAATGAGAGTTATTTTTCATTGCCTTCTGAGTTGGTTTTTTTCCAGGGTGGCACAAAAGGCATAATTTAACATTCTCTTTGAACTGAAGAACTGGGAACTTATTTTTTCTTTCTATTAAAGATTCAGATCCTCTCCTATCCAGATCATCCTAGGATGTTTTCAAGTATTACCACATATTACAAGTTAGTAACACAGCTTTTTAGTTATTCTTGCAGTGAGTAGCACAAATCTTGTACATCAGGATACACAATTGCAGCAAAGGAGAGAAAATTATTTAGAAACTTTTTTACAAGTATGGTGCCTTGCAAGAAACAGCTGGAGGGTATTCCCTGACATAAAGAGGCTGGAACAACCACTTAATGGGTGAGGCATGGCAGGATCCCTGTTCAGCTTCTCTACAGATTTGCTTTGCATTTGTGGGAAGGCTTGGCTCCCAGCCTCATCATCAGCTAATCTGCAGAAATGATCAGATGGGAGTTAAATGAAATTGCATTAACTTGAGATGAAAGAGAATTCATTTGCATTTCTTCTCACTGGTCCTCGAGTGCGAACATGCAGACATGCACACCACCCCCACACAGCCAGCAGACACAAGGTAACTTGCTGGAACAAAGCAGTGTTCTTCTTACTTCCTTTATTTCCCTTGCCTTTCTCCTTGATAGTCCTAGTTGTTCCTTTGAACCACCTCCACTCTGGTTCCTTCTCTTTCCCTTTCCTCCTTTGAAGGAGCAAGACACGTAATGCTTGAGAATTGATTTTTATCCTAAGAATAAACCATTAGCACAAACCATCTTTTGCTCTGTTTACCTCCCTTCTCTTCTGCATTAAATCCTTGTGCTGAGATGGGCTAGAGGCTTGTCCACCTTGTCCGTTTTCCCTCCCTCTTGTTGGAGAGGCATGTTTGAGTGGAGAGCCGACAGTGAGGAAGCAAGCCACCACACTCAGAAATAATTGTTTGCAATTGTGGAGATTTGTTTTTTCTCTCCTCTGCCACCCTAAGCATGGCCCCCACTGAGGCAACCTTGGGCTTCTGCCCCTCATGGCCCCTCATCAGCACCCTCATGAATACCCCTGCTGTTCGTGTCACTCATCTTCCCCCAGTGACAATGCTGAGGTGAGGAACATTAACCCACATGACTTTACACACTGGAACAAGCAGCCAGGCTAGGATTCTCACTGAAAAGCCAAGAGGGAGATTAAGCCACCTGTCTTCCTGGTGTGCCAGATCACACAGGCTGTAAGCTCACACCCTCTGCTTTTCCTCCAAAGACTGACAACAACCCATTGCAGAGCAGCCTACAGGCTGCCAGGTAGAGCACACTTCCCAGCAGCAAGATGGGCTCAAACCAGGCTCCTCCAGTACAGAGAATTACATACAGGTCTTTCCCTGCCCACTGTAGAGACTATAATAGTTCCACTAATGAAGAAGAAACAATACCTCAAAGGGATCTTGGTTTCTATTGCAACGCTTATTTATGTGTTCTATTATGCAACTAATTAAACCAAAAGAAACACCCACCATCATTGAAGCTGTGTTCTTTAAAAAAAAGCAGCAGTTGCTACTGGATGTTGCAATCAGCTTCCTCCACTACAAGAGCATTAAGCAAAATCTGAATATAGTACCCTGCACTCTCTAGGAGCAAGAAGTGAAATTACTTGTTTCTGGATCCCAACGGATTTGGGAATGAAATAAATGCTGACTCATTCAGCCTTGCCAACACTGGGCATTCACAGAGGAAGAGCTGGGTCCCGCAGAGCTCTGGTTGTGAGTTCAAGGCACCTACAATGAGTAAGACTCCTCAAGTTTGGTATTTTAAAGCTGGGCACCCACTCACTAGTGTCTCTGCTGGGTAATCACACCTGTTTGCATACTCTGCTTCTCCCCTTGCCTTGAGCTTTTCCTCTGTAAAACGTGGATGATCACATCCACATCTTAGTGGAGAGTTACAAGAACAGAATCATAAGGATATGGACCATAAGGCACTGACATCAGTGACAGAGCCTATGTAAGTAAGCAAGACACCTGGCTTTTTCCAAGCAGAAGGTTAGATTGGGATGACTTTTTTTCAGCACAAAACCCCCGCTTTTTTCTTTGACTTCAGTGATTTCTTTTAAGAGACAATGACTACTGAAAATCACAATTTTTTCTGTCATCAATCTCTGGCAGCTTGTTACAACAGATGATTGCTCAGAGAGGTTGTGAGTCTCCATTTTTGGGGAAATCAAAACCAAACAGGATGTGGACCTGAGCAACCTAGCCTAGCTGACCCCTGCTTTGAGGAAGAGCTTGAACCAGATATCTCCAGAAATCCCTTCAAACTTCAACTACGCCACAATCCTGTGCTGCTCTGACAATTCCTAGGAGCACAAAGGCACCTGAGATAGATCTTTTGAAGTGTTAATTCATCCAAAAGGCAAGAATCTTCTCTGCTATCTTGACAGTGAGAGAAATCAATTTATAAGACATTGTTGTATTTAAAATCAGTGCACCATAACTGCACTATCTCCCCCAGAAAGTAGAACAGGTATGGCTGATATGTCTTTGGAATATAAAACAGTCTGTATTTAAAAATGTGTCATCAACAGAGTAGGATTATTTGTAACATCTGGACAAAGCTGCAAACCTTTACCATATCATTTCATTTCACTGTTTGTTCTTTCCAGGCTGGTTTGGTCATAGACCAACACTCTCCAGAAATTCACTGTCCATGGACAGTCACAGCAGAACTCCACACTCTCAGTTCCCACACTGCATGGAGAGTCAAGTCTCTCTGCTTTTACTTGCACCATATTTAGGTATCAGTAAGGGAACTCTTGGTCTCCACATACTCAAGTGCTGCTCTTTTAACAGCCAGGACACTTTCTGCTGTACCAAATTTCTTTTCATAATCCAGGTAGCGTTTGAAGAAGAATTTCATCTTCTTTGGTGCCAAGCTCAGGTGTATGACTCTCTCAAAGATGTCCCTGCAAGAAACCAAAGTGATTCAGATCGCTGTGTCAGTGGCAGCACTCAATACAAGCCCTGTACCCTGTCTTAACAACAAGCAGAAAGTCAGGGGAAATACACAATCTGCTGTGAAGTGCTTGTGCTTGAAGAAAGAGGTTCCTGACAATTGGTCAAAATCTCTAAGTAGAAGTTTTCTATTTGCTTTCAGAACTCTAAGGTTGCTGGTCAACTTAAGCAAAGATCCATTCACTGTATTGGACCCTGCATTCATTAAGCAGATGTGGAAAATTACTTCCTTTCATCAACTCTCAGAAAACAGAAAAAAAAAAGCTACAAGATATAAAAGGGCTTGATCTCACCCTTCAGATATAAGGCAATCCCTCCAGAGGGACTGATCGACCTCAGTGCAAGGCCTCTAGTTTCTGTCATGCAGGCCAATCAGACTCCCTCTGTCTTATGGAACTCTCTGGAGTCTCCTCAGTCCCAGCAAAGACTTTGTCTAGGTGATAAAAATTCTTTTTTGCTCTGCTCTGGGAAGCCCTGTACAACCTCACACTGCAGGGCACCTTGCTCTTTTTGAGTGTCCCTCCAGACACTGTGTTCTGCCCCTTCCCAGCCTGGTGCACCACAACTCACCGTACTTCCTTCTGGCTGCCATGTTTGATCATGATGTCCATGTAGATGGACCAAATGTCTGTCCGCTTGGGATAGCTACTGAGGGTGCTCTCAAAGAGGGCCTTGGCATGCTCTGTGTCCTCAAAACGGAACTCCAGCTGTGCAAACCTTGAAATGACATCCACATCTGGAACAAGTAATGATATCTTAGGGTATCACAGCAGCTCTCTCCATATGAACAAACACAAGTGATAATGACACAAACAGAGGCAAGCATAGAGACAGAACCACCTCTACCCAGAGACAAAAGGCTCTGTTGTAAAGTGGTCCTGGACTAAGGTGGGATCAAAGTGGGAGAGAGAAGGGTCACAGTTCACTTCCCATTTCAGTTCTCTGCAGGAGAGGTTTGTTCTTACATTCAAAATGTATCATGCAGCATCTACGGGCAGCCCCACAAACCTAGGACTAGACCAAGTGAACGGCCGTAAAGCTCAAAGTTGCCTTTGCTCTGAGTGCTTTGCTTTTGTGTATCACAGCAAATTCTATTACAGGTGGATTTAGCATTGACATCCAGCTTGATATTTCCCCTCCTGAGAGACAAGGGCAGCATGTTCAGCATCAACTGGTTGCACTTTTCACTTATTACAAATGGTGTCACAGGCAAAGATATCAGAGAGCAGCCCATCTCCTGGAGACCTGTCACCATTAAGATCCACATTAAGGATGGGGCACAGTGCTTACGTTCTTTTGTGGGCAAAGCTTTGAGAGCACGCTCCAAAAGTCTGTGTGTAGCCTCAGTCTGGCCTTGCTTCAAGAGGAACGAGGCGTATTTCAGCCACACAGATTTCTCCTGACGAAAACGCTTCAGCATTGTGTGGTACAATTCTTCTGCTTGCTGGAAGGGCAGAGTTGGGTTAGATCACACAGATTCATAACTAAGACTTGTAGCTTTAAAACTCTTATTCTTAGGACAGGTATCTCCAAACATTTATGACAGAAAAGCATCAATGCATCCTTGTCCGCTGTCAATCATAACTATTAATTCCAGTTAGGAACAGGACAGGTCTAACATCTGCCAGCTGGAAGCTTACACAGCCAGCATTCAAAGTTTACTGGCATGACTGAATGGAATAAGTGCCTGGGACCTGTCTGCACTACCTTACCTTGTACTTCTCAGAATTGGCATAGATGTCACACAGATGCTGGAAGACTTTCAGAGGTTCATTGTACTGGACAGCTCTCTCAAAGACCTTCATCAGTGTCTCCTCAGTACCATACATGTTCTCCAAGTTCAGCAGAGCTACCCAGACATTCAGCTTCTCCTGTTCTTCCCTTAGAGTAGATATGAACAAGAATATTTAGCCTTTTGCCAGTCTTCAACAGGTTTTGCAAACCACCCTGCATACACTCACTGACTTGCAGCCTGCCTCCAGGACAAAGAAAGAGGACATACTGCTCCCTGAAACACCACTTTTGGAATAGAGCACAGCAGTTGTTTCACACTACAATTTTTGATCACTGTTGTTTGTAATTAAAAACCACAAGGATGATTCAAGAAAGCACAATATACTTAATCATGCAGTAGAGATGATTTAAGGTGCAGCCCTATGGCAAAAGCGACAAGAGTTTCACAGTTTGTTTCATGTTTTGATTTAAGGACAACATCACCGAAAGCATTATGCTCTTCCAAACCGTTCTGACTGCTCAGAAGAATGTCTGTGCACCCAGTACCACCTTTGGGAGCTACTGTGCTTGTGAGCTGCAGCAGGTCAGCTGTAGGCCAACTGTGGTGACTCAGGCCAGACCTTCAAAGGACCAGCTGACAATTGCTACCATTTAATCCTTCTGAGCTCACTGAAACAGACTCTGCCACTCCACACATACTGATACTACCAGTGTTCTTTCATAACTACCCCATCACAAGCCCTGTTATTACCTGAAAGAGATTGTTTTAAGTGCTCTCTCTGCTACAGCTCTGGCCTTCTCAATCTCTGTAGCCTGGAGGTGGAAAGCCATGTACTGCAGCCAGAGGATGGAACTGTTGGGACTGCTCAGCACCAGGCGGTCAAAGTCATCTGCTGACTGGGGCTGTCGAGTGGGGTCCATCAGAGCTGCCTCTACTTTGCAAAGCTCCTTCTCCTTCTTCTGCTTCTCTAGCTCCTTCTCCTTCTTTGTTTTTTTCTTTAACTGAAAGAGCAAAACAGGAGGATAAGGAAGTGCAGGCACTTCATGTGGGAATAGGCAGGCCTCACTATGTCCAAGGATAGGAAGTTTCCTCAGGAAGAGATGAAGCCAATTGCTTAAGATAAGAGGAAAACGGTACACACACCCCACCCCTCCATACACTGTTCACACCTCAAGAAAGAGCAGCAGTAAATTAAATGCCTTTTCTTTTAAAGAAATACACTGAGGGACCAAATACTTTGCTAGTTTGGCACCCCCAGCTGCAGGATTCACACTTCCCTTTCATTCTTCCATCTTTACCATCCAGGCCAATACTCACCACTATCCTTCACTCCATAAAAATCCAGGATACATGGGAAGAAATTGTGCAAGATTGGGGCATGGTGCTGGATCACTAGGGTGACTCAGATCTAAATTGGGAACTGACAGTGCCATAGTTCTCTGCCTTGTTACCTTGGGCAACAAAGCACTGGCCATGTATGGCCTTCACAGAGGTGAGTTTTGAAGAATGGGGGAAATCCTGAAGATCAAACATGAAAGGAGTCCATGAGCTGGTTTCTGCTTTTGTTGAATTGCTCACACTGGAAAACTCTTCTAGAGGTTAGAGCATAAAAGATTTTTTTGGTGTTTTTCTAAATAAGAGGACTGTAATTTGAGAAGTCTTTCACCTCCAGGTTTTCCTGTAAATTTACAACACTCCGGAAAGTAAAAAACATAGCTGACATCAAACACAAAAAAATTTCACTTTCATGAAAACATTGTTAGACTTTAAATACTCATTTCTTTAAAATGTCAACGTGAGAAGCCCTATTTTTCATGCAGCCATGCTAAAGTAGTGCCTTTTCTCCTCTGCTTCAGAGATATCTGCTACTAACTCCAGTGTTCAGAGTAGTTAAACAAGTTCTGTGTCAGCTGTCAGAGATGTTCCCTTGGGTTAGAAGGCTTTGCTATGGGGTAGACAGACATGCAAACACCAAATCATCACATTGCAGTCACTGTTTGCTGTCTCCTATGCAGACAACACTAGAATACAGTACCTTGGACTGTGGATCCTCCTCCTCCTCGCTCTCTGAGCTTTCTTCCTTCTGATTCACCAGAGGTATATCCATTGCATTCATGTCCTCGTCCCAGGTGAAGCCCATGGAAACCTGCAGCCTGGGAGCTTCACCAGGTTTCCTTATCTGTTTGTAGGAAGACAGAAGATGCCATGAATTTTAAGTTTTTACACTAAGATCAGACAACTGCTCCTTGCTTGTGGCATCTCTCTGGCCAGTACTATTGATTTCTTACACTTGCAAGCAGCCTACTAGCAAAACCATTAACTCTGTGGTCACCTTTGCTGTAATTTAAACTCAAGCCATCTCAAGCCATTTTCATATTGTATCACTCCTATCTGCAGCAATGATACTTATTGTCATCCAACGCAGAAGTGACATCTCAATAGGGATAGAAAGACATTTCAGGCTCCTACAAACTTCTCACCTCAGATTTCTTTTTAGCTGCCTCTTCCTCCTGGTCATCCTCATCCTCCTCACGGTAATATACCTCAATTCCACTGTCATTTTCATCTGCTGGGCAGATCTTCCTTTTTTTTGGCTTCGCCTCCTGCAAGAAGGGGAAATGAATGGATGGTGGAGAGCAAAAACTGCGATGATCTTAAAGGCAATTCTTATCACTAAGTAAAGAGCCTGACAGCAGAGAGAGGGCAATGCCCCAGCAGAACATCTTCCACTATCCTCTCACATAACAGAGACAGCAGATTACTAAACCCGCACTCACCTACATCAGGGTGTCAAGACCAAAAGGACATGCCACACAGGCAACACAAGTGGGTTGCTATCTCAGCTCCCCCCCAAAAAGAACAGTATCTGACCTTTGCTAATCTCCAATACAATTTAATTTTTTTTACAAGTCTGTATAATTCCTCAGCCTCATCCCAGTGGATCTTCCTAGTCCCTTCAGTATTTGAGCCAAAGAAATCCTTTAGCATGAGCTGTGCAATCACATTCATACCTGCCCACTTTCAGAGTTTCCTCTTCTCCTTTTTGTCTTCGACTTAGGTTCTTCACTTTTTTTCTTACTATGTGCCTCTCTTTTCTCCTCCTCTGCACCATATTGTGGTAGGCCCAGGGATTCAGGCAAGACACTTGGCATCCCAGTGTCCTCAGGCAGGAGAGAAAGTTCAATATGTTTTTCTTTTCCATTTACACTGTGGTTCATTGGCAGGAATAGCAGGACAAAAGAAGAAAAAAATCAGAGCACTTACAATGACTGCAAGTATCTGAAATTCTTTCAAACCTTCTTGTCTTTTATCCTCCCTTTTTAGATCCTCTCCTCCTCCATTGTCTCCTTTCTCTTAATTCATGGTCCCTTTTAAAGAACAATGGACCTACCCAAGCACTTTAGCAGTGAGCAGCTTTCCTTCAGGCAGGTATTTTTCATATAAGGAGTGTTTCTGTACAAAGTAAGGGGAAACATTCTGGAACAGGATTCGGCCCAGAAGAGAAGTGGACAAGCTGAGAAGAGGAAGAAAACCAAAAATAAATATTCCATGGGGGAAGGGGGAGAAATAAAGTGCAGTGATTGTATTTGTGGCATCACTAGTTCTGTATAGTGTCACACAAACTTTCCCTACTTTAATTTTATAGGTTCAAGAAAGTATCAATGACATCTTGACTTCCAGGAGGAAATTCATTTTGCGACATCACATTATGCCAGAGACCACACCCAAACAAGATTCCACAATTGTACATTCTAAGTAAGTTCTCCAAAACACATCACCTGCCAGAATAATATTCTTACGTGCGGTGGGTCTGGCTGAGCCAGAATTTATTTCCCCACAGTAGCCCTCACAGTGCTGTGCTCTGCATTGGTAGCTAGAGGGGTGTTGATAACACACCCACATTTTGGCTACTGCTGAGCACAGCACTGTAACATTCCTTCTTCAATCGAGGGAGAGATCCTGGAAGGGGACACAAGTAGGCCAGCTGACCCACACTGACCAAGGGGATATTCCAGACCATATGACGTCAACCCAGATATAAAAGCTGAGGCAAGGAGCAGGACTGGAGGCACTCATTGCCTCTGATGGATGCCTGCTGACAACCCTTACACGTGCTGGAGCCCTGCTCCTCAGAGAAGTGGTCAACCACCACTGCTCATGAGAAGTAGGGATTAACTGCTGGCTCCTGCTTTGTGCACGCTGCTTTTGTTGTCTTTTTTGCATAAACATAAACTGCCTTATTGCAACCCACAATTTGTGTTGTTTTCTTTTCCCACCTTACTCTCTCCCCTGTCCGGCTGAGAAGGGGAAGGATAGAGTGGCTGGGTGAGCACCTGGCATTTAGCCAAGGTGAACCCACCACATTAGGCTACTCACCCAAAGAATACACCTGATGGAGTGATTGATTTGACATAGCCTCTCACTAGCTGGCCTTTTTTAACATCCTTAATACATGTTATTTCAACATCTTCCACTTTGGTGTAGATCTTTGGATTCAGCCTGAAAGAAAAGAGAGGTTAGAAGCTACAGCACTTTCCTGAATAATCCACACTGCTCTAGATGTCAAAAAGAAGATCAGTATTAACAACAGCTAGTACTCTCTGGAAAACATTCTGGATCAGAGACACCCTTCAGTTTATTCAAATGTACTAATGGACTACCAGCATCTCTGTCAAGATATACATAGCAGTAGGGAATATACAAGCTGCTGCAAACAAAGCCAAACAGATCAGCCTGGCTTCCTCTAAAAAAATGAGGAGAGTAAAATGCTGTCTGAAATTCTGCACATCATTTGCTTGTTTTTTGCCCCACTTATTTCTAAGATACTTCATTCCACATGGTTTACATATTTTTGTTCAACAAGGAAGACAAAGCAAGAGGCTCGGTTTTAAGAGATATTTAGGGCTAAGTCTGCTATGTAATCAAAACGGTTAAAATGCAGCTGAACACTGAAGCATAACATGTTTGTATTGCAAATTCAATGGCAGAACTTTCCCTTTCTTCCTAAATAAACAAACAAACAAGATAAGTCAGGTCTAGGAACTACAATAAACAGAAATTAAATCTGAACCCAGTTGAGCAGCTCTACATTAAGTGTCAGACACTTCCGTGTTTGCTGATACAGGAAAGTTGTTCTGAAGTAGGAACAAGTATCATCCCTTAAAAAAAAAATGTAGTCCTTGTCCTTTTAACACTTTACACTGATGTGCCCAAACCAATGGTTACTGTATTTCACTATCCTTTTCTTCCCTAGTAGGAGACCAACAGACTAGAGGGATGACACATACCGGGATTGCCGGAGAGATAACTGGATTTTGCCGTTTTCGTTGGAGAGGATGTAGCACCTGCATGGGAGAGTAAGGGGAGAAAACAAAGCTTTTTAACCCATTAAAAAAAGCCACAGGTAGGAAATAGATATTTTCACTAGCAGAATGCAGCTCTAGAGGAAACAAAGCATTCTGTTCCTTTGAGCACTTGCTGTCTAATGTAAACCCGCATGACACAACAGTTCATAAAACCAGCCAAAGGGCTTTTTGAAACACATGTACTTACTTTACTCAGGCTCTATTGCTAATACAAAAGAGTTAAAGATTGTTACATCTGAATCACTTGGCCTGTTGCACTCTCCAGCATTCCCAAAAAGTCTGCGAAGCAGGGAAATGCAATTACTTGTGCATTACAAATGTAAAGACAACTGAACTGCCAAACAAGCAATTCAAAGCAGAGCTGGGATACCTGGCTTCCCTCAGTCCCATCAGCACCTTAGCTAAGAGAGTAGTTACTCTCAAAAAGAGAGCCCGAGAAGGGAGCTGAAAAGGGGCTTCTTCGCAAATGGAAAGTACAAGACTTTCACCCAAATGTACACAAGGCAAGTCAGCATTTCTTCTTAGCCACAGACTGGACCTTACAGTCTGGCATCATCTTATGGCAGTGGAAAGCCTCTCACCAAAGGCGGATATTTCTAAGCTTTAAAGCCTGAGGGAACAAGGAAGAGATTTACTGACCTGACGATCTTGCCAACTTTGAAGTTACCCAGAGGATTCTCTGTGTAAGTATCATTCAGGTGAAAGATGCTGACTTTGCCAGTCTTCCCACCTGGCAGTGCAACGGTCAAACCGACATGTGGAGTCACCTTTGTTACCATGCCTACAGTGACAGTGCCCTGCTCCAGTGACTGAATTCCTGGGAAAAGTGAAGGAGGGAGAGGGCTTCATAACACTTGAAAATATGAAGCAGCGGGACTAATATGTCAGTGAAGCTAATTTTAGTTGTCTTAGTTACATATCAAACCCACCAGCTTTTGGCAAGGTGCAGTCTATGAAATCTCTCAGTTCACAGCAACATTTGCCTTGATAGTCAAAACTAGGCCAACCCTAGTTGAACAATTCCAAGATCCAGAATAACTGTCAAATGTTGACAAATGTACCATCTCATGTCTGAGAGCAGAAGGGAATATGTTTACAAGGGCTCAGAGAAGGTTTCAGTCTGAGACAGTAGGAAAGTGATTCTTTAGTCTAAAGGTCTGACCTCTCTTGTCTTACATGCTGTTACATTTAGGTCAGGGCCCCAGGAGTTAGTTCTGTTCTACAAGAAGGTACAGCTTGGCTCTGGAGTGTAACATCTTCACTTAATAACCCACCTCTGAGTAAAGGATTGTATGTGGTGGGGTCTTGCTATTAATGCTCCACAATACCTGTGAGTGACAAGCAGAGGTTTGTTTCTGTGACATCTGTTCCAGTCACTGTAGCTGATATTGCCTGGCCAATTTTAAAGCTCTTTTCTGGATGTTTTAAGACCTGAAAGAAAAGACATATTTCCACTTATTTCCAGAAAATGAGCTTTGTACAACTCTTGACAGGTGTTTCTTCTATGAACTTTTACACTTTCTATACACATCTTTGATGTGCACATTTGACTGATAGCTCAGCATTGCTCCAATGGCTCTGCTACCCTGAGCCAAACAAGCTACAGGCACAGTACTCACTTGTCAGTGAGAGGCAGCAATGTCTAAAGGGCAGAGCACTGGGTTACGAGTTCACACGGATGTCACAAGTGTTTGCAGTCATTACTTGTGGTCATGAGCACAATTAAAAAAAAAAAAAAATATGTGTAGCTCACCTGTAACAGCCTCTTACCTTGGTGTTCATAGACAGCAGCAGATGAGGAACTCTTCCTCGAATGTCAGGGGCAACTTCTACCTCCAGCCAGTTTTTGAGGATGTTATACTAAGAAGACACGAAATAACCAGAAAAGACAGCATGATACCTTGGGGGAAAAAAAACCCTTTCCTGGTAGAAATTTTTAAGGTTAGAAGGAATTAGTCCAGCCTTGGCTTTTTCACCCAGCAAAAATGGTGATTTGGAGTCTACTCTTACAAGCATAACACTGCTGTGGTTTACAGGCAAGTGCACACGGCATCAGCAGTGAGTGCAGTTTGTGGCAGACTCAAAGGCCATTTTGCTCAAGTGCAAGGTGGGAAGCAACTGCTGGCAACAAACAGGCGCGTTGAAGAGGATGAGTCAGCTTGATTCCATCAAATACAGAACAGTTTGACTTCTTTCTCCTACTTTCCCTGTAAGACACTGCATTTGGTATGGACCACTCTCATAGTTAATAATAGCATCACTGTTTAGTTAAAGCCCCTGAGGACACCCGGACTTGCTGCCTCCCCCAGCACATTTCCTAAGAAGACTCTGATCTCACCTTTTTTACAAAACAGGTGACTGTTTGTCCCACACTGTAGAGTCCAAGTTTCTTGCAGGCATTGTCTTCTTTAAGGTTCAGCATTGCTGTGACTTCCCCTTCTTTTTCACTGTTCGCAAAAAAAGAGAGAGGACATCAGTGACACGGCTTTGGTCCTAATGATGAAAATGGAAGTTAGAAGCCTGGGAAATTATGGTGAACCAGTACCAAGACAATGTCTTTGTGACATTCATCCCCATCCCCTCCCAGCTGCATCTTTCTGCAAGGAATTAATTCTTCCCTGGCCATAAGAGGGAATCTTTCTGAGATGACTAGACATGACAAAGTCCAGATTGTCAGAACCTGAAGCCAAAAGGACATTCAAAGGAAATCATGCGCTACAAGAGCACACATGCTAGGAGAACACAACTCCCAGACCCAACTTAGTGTGAAAGAGAGAGTAAGAGGCCTTGCCTCGCTTGCATACATGTGGAAGTCCCTGCTCATAGCCGGCTCCTTCACAAATGGGAGGTACAAGGGAGGGAACCTTCAAAGACACAAAGTCTGTGAAGCATCTGCAGACACAAAGAGGCCAACACTTACCTTGGTCGAATGCTGAGCTCTGGAATGGATTGAGTGAAGTGTGGATGGGTGATGGGCAGGTACCTAAAGAAGAGGAAAAGGATCAGAGTTTCTCATGCTCTCCCCAGGCCCCAGTCACTCACATTTAATCCCTCTGCACTGGCAAGAAAACCCAGGTGCAAGTCCTCTAAAACTACCAGAGCCTTCCAGTTCCAGTTCTTCCTAGTATTATTTCAATGGCAATTTAAGTAACCAAAATACTCCAGCAAATTTAGCTCGAATTTAGACATCTTTTTTCCTTGCAATCTATACTCAAGATAAATACAGTAACACAAGTAGAAAGATAATTCACTGAAACCTGGATCTGGGATGAAATATAATAGCAGATTTCCTCAAGCCTCAACTATTCCAGCAAAGGCAGCTGTACCAGCATCTGCTGACTGAGGGAACTGCCTAAATGATTTGAATTGAGTAACTGTTTCACCCCTTGCATTCCCCCAGAAGCGATATCATGTACATGTTTTCCCACCTGTGAGTATTCACATCTCTAACTCCAATGACTCGAGCAGTCACCTTCTGTCCAGCTTTCAGAGTAAATGTTGGAAAAGAGCCTATGGGCACTTCATCCAGAATCCGGGATGCATGGATTGAACCTGTCAGCTTGTCATCAATAGCAACTGTAACATGGGTTGGTTTGACAGATTTAATGGTCCCAGTAACAATATCCCCTGGGGAAAGCGAGTGTTTCACAGCAGGAAGCATCTCTTCTAATACTGTCTCAGATTCATTCCGGACCCTCACAAAAAAATTCTTCTTCGCTGGGCCTTGCACTGCTAACAAGACCCCGTGGTCATTCTCTTTCACCGCTCTTAAGGTTGCAGAGATTGTTTGTCCCACCTTCAGTTTTTCTGAGTCAAAGCGGAAGGTGTCGTTGAAGTGAGACGGGATGGGCACAGCTGCCAGCTGGCCTGTTTCCAACAGAGACACCAGGGCAAACTGTTCTGCAATGTGCTGCACAACAGCAGAGTGCTGGGAGTTCTCTCTGAGCTGCTAGACAGAAATGGAGATAGTCACTTCTCCTGCTGAGATTTTGATTCCCTCCACCCTCTCTCCCAGAGTTCTAAAAGAGGAAACAGCCCCCCCTTGACATTTATTATTCACGTAAAGTTTGCCAGGCAAACAGAAACACACAGATCCAAAAACTGAACACATACTCGCTTGGGTCTTTGCTTTAACAGTTCTTCCCGAAGAGAAACATACACCTCAGATGTGGAGGCATCCACATGAAGAACCAACACCTTCATTTTCTTACCAGGGACAATATTTTTATCTATAAATGAGAATAAAGAGCTTATATCCTGGTGACAGAGAATTCTGAGCAACTGAGATAGCAGCACATGACAAACAGGAAGGGTTTAATTTCCTGGAGACCAAAAACTGCTTAATTACCTGAGTTACAAAGTCAACTTAGTACCAAATGTATAATGAGTCTCTTTAAGAAAAGAAAAGATTCTTCCAACATTAATGGCAATGAGAAAAAAAAACTGAGCTTTTTATTTGGAAAAAAGTCTGATGCTTTCATGGAAAAGCTAAATTGATTTTATGAAGATACAATTCTTAAATAATGCAGACTAAAAACAAACTTAAGATAATATAGCTTTTGAAAAAGATCTTCCTAACGTTTGCATGAAACTATCTCTAGTCTATCTGTTGCTAAGCAAAAACAGGAAAAGAAAAAAATAAGAAAACAGAAAACTCTTCTGAACACAGAATTGCTATTACTCCTGCTGAAGTTAGCAGTTTATCTTGCTTTCTGAGGTATATTCATTACCTCAGCATGTACTTGTTTGGTTCTGCATAATATGACACTTTTCTGATTTAATTACAAAAATACTGAAATTGCAGTCCTGCTTTAAAGTCACATAGATTTTCAAGAGAAATTGGCAGCAATTTCAGACAGAGCATACAAGAAATATCATTCTAAAGCAAGAAGGAAAAAAAACATGAAAGCTGGAGCTTGTATTAATACTTTGTCTATATACAGTATGATTCAACTAAGGATCTCAGGGCACAAACTAGACCTTACAAGATGCCCAAAATATGAGGTGGGGTTAACAGAGGTACAGGTAGGTTTATATTAAGTTTTCTGAATCACACAAATGGGTTGGCAAGACATTAAGAAACTAAACTACTCTTCAAGGCCACCCATACTCTGATCAGACTCCTCCCATGTTAGTTCCCCATCAGCAGAATTCATTTCAGGACAGAAGTTTTTAAGTACAAGTCTGAAAACCAACACAAGGTAAGGAAAGACCCTCACCCCCCACATGGTAGCGAGTGGCGGTTACAGTCAATCCTGTGACACAGTTGCCACTGAACAGTGCTGAGCCATCCTCCCTTACATCCTGCACGACCAGCTGCAGCTCCTTCCCAGGCACCAACTCACAAAGGCCTTGGGCCATGCTGGGCTCCCCTAAATTAAGGCAAGAAAAAAGCAGGAAGTCAGTTTTACCTACATTGTTTCTTTGCAAAACAAAGACAATCCTCCACATTTACTCAGTGGTGCATGAACAAGCATCTATATCCACCTTTATAAGGGAAAACAAAGTTTAGGTTCCTGAATCTGTAGAAATACAAAGTCAATTCTAAGAGTTAATCAAAGTAGAAACACTTTTTTGACAATAAGGATCTGATAACTTTGGAGAGAATATTTCCAGTCTTATAGAAACACTGGTACACAGCATTGCATATAGAAAAAGGTGAAAGTAAAGTAGATAAATACTAAAACCACAAAACAGACCTGCCACTTCACAATTATAGGTAACAAAACATTAAAAAATACTGGATATAAGAAGAATCTAAAAAGGCAAAGTCAGAATTTGCTAAAATCAACTGCAATACATCCAGTGTACATAACACTAGAAAAACAGCATGTGAGAAAACCTTTGCTGGAGGACCTGTAATACAAGTAGGCAAATCTATCTGAACAAACTCATGCTCATGTGAGTGCTGGGTTTGGGTTATCACAAGCACTTGAGTGCCTTGGACTTTCTAGTTAAGCAGATCCTGGTAAAGGCTCAGGGCAGTTGAAAACTTCCTCTGTGCAAATCAGGCATCCTACGCCCAAATATCAACAATAAAGAACAACTTGAGGATCACAGCATGCACAAATGCACATTGCTATAACATAAGCAGGAACAGTTCCTGTTCTGCGGTAAAATGTCCTTCACTGTCACTGTTAAAAAAGCACCATTAGAATAAGGTAGAATCGTAAGTTCTCATCAGGTATGAGTTACCAGCATACAAATAATACATCATTAGTTGTCAATGATTCTTCCTCATTTTTATGGACAAAGCTAGTCCTATTTGCCTAAACACAGTAAGAGCACCTGCTGCTTGCTGTGTGTAATATGCAAGGAAGGAAATCCTTCTTAAAACAAAGCCTTCTCCTTTATTATTTTAGCCCTCCAAAAGCATCCTTCACTGTATATAGATGTACTATTCTTCAGAAAGCACCAGGGGAAAAAAATCACTACCATCAGACAGATAACTTGCCCAGCCTTTCTAATGTCATAGCTAGTTACACTGATGCACTGACTTGGGTTCTTCCATCATTTTTCAGTACAGAAAACTGATATGATGTCCACGCTCATTCTTATATTTTTATCACCCTCCTATCCAGGCACCAGTACTGTTTTTTTCTAAACTAAGTAATTACCAGGGGTAGGGCTCAAGTGCCTGTTTCTAAAACACGAGTTTGCATGCAATGAGAGCCTCCCATAATGCTTATAATCACTCCCTTTTCAGGCATTGGGGGAAATTCACGTTTGGGCACTGAGTAGCCTGTTTTGCTTCACTGGTGCTTTGCAGCAATGCACTCAGGCACATAGAAATAAACTCCTAGACTTCCATGAGTCACTCTCCCACTTAAAAAACCAAAACCAAAACCACAACAAAACCATACGCTTCCACCTCTACTGGCACATTAGATAAGTTTCACAGCTTGCTCAATATCCATAAGCTCTTTAGAGTTCAACATCTGGCAGATAACCAAAAAAATCAGGTCTGCAGGTTAAGGCTCTTAAAATACAAGAGCAGAGAGTACTAAAAGTTAACCATTGCCAGTTTCAAAATACACAAGCCTGGAGAAAGGTTCCGGTTCACAGAACATCCAATCTTATCCTGGCCTTCCTTATTACCAGCTCCATGCCCTTCATGGAAACCATCCTTTTGTACCATTCTATCTCCCTTCCTCTTTTGGTATATGGACCTCACAGCATATCTATCCCCTTATTTTAATTATCTAAGCTTCAACCCAAAATCAATGCAAGAGACCTAGCAAACTTCAGAGAAAAGAGTAGCTTCTTTGGTTTGTTTCAGCTGTACTTCCAAAAAGCCCCTTGTTAATGGCAGACACTGCATACACATCCTTTTTCTAATAAGCTACTCTTGGAAGTGAAGTCTTTGCTTGAACTGACCTTTCTTTTACTTAAAAGAAAATGGTTTTCCCTTCTTGTTCCATTAGAGCCCCTTTTTTTTGACATGATCCCCTTTAGCAGAACATGTGCAATCTTTTACCTCTTTTCAACAAGTCCCTGATTTCTTTCAGCTCCTTGAAATATTGATTCAGGAGGGCAAAGCTCTCTGCAGCAGAATCACCCGAGCTGCACTCTGACACCTTCAGACTGAGGAGCACACGCCGCTTCTCCTCATCAATGCTCATCACCTTCGCAATCACAGTCTGTCCCACCACAAAGTGGTCCTTGGTGTCTGTCACAAACTTGTCACTCATGCTCTGTGCAAAGGAAACAAGGGACAAAGGTTACTGAGCACAGCTGCTACCTATCAACCACCCACAGTGCTATTCAGAAGGGTTTGAGCTAAAATTTCGTGAAAATGCATAAGAGAAATTAACACAAACTAACAAAGCCCCATCAATTAAAATTAATTACTGAAACCATGTGAAGTCCTTGTTGAAGGTTAAGCTCACTTTGAATAAAGTCCTTTGTTTCACTTTGGAAGTGAATTAAAATGCAAACCTAAAACCTTTTACCCTACAGGAAGGAAGTTGTGCAAATGCAGGGTCTGCAACCCAATTGTTCCTTTCCTTGCTAAAAGCATGTTTCAAGCAGCCTCATTCACACACATGCTGCTTACTGCAGTGAAGGCATCGCTTACCACTTTGGGTGCCAGTCCTGTCACGCCAAAAGGGAACTCCACAAACACCCCAAAGGGCATCACATTCCTCACATAACCAGTCAACAGCATGCCAGGCTGGATTTCAGAGAAGCTTCTCACAACTTGCTCCTCCTGTACAGCAGAAATCACTGCAGACTTTCTGCTCAAGATCTGAACAACCAATTAAGAAAAATCAGAAAAGATGAATGAAAGGAGCATGATGCCAAGCAAACCTCTTGGTGCTGCTAACCATTGGGCTAGAGCACTTGATGCAACCTACAGAATACAGGAGCTGTAAGTGTGGCAATTCCAATTTCTATCTTGATCTCTCCACACAAAAATTTAGCAACTGATGTCTTTAAAGTTGCTCAGCACTGAAGACACATGCTCCATATACCAGAAATATCAACTTCCTAACTTTTCAATTCTGATTTTGGGTATAAGAACAGCAACCTTTGCTAAGGTTGTGATAAGATTAACAGCCCAGAAGCTGGTTGGGAAAATCAGCCAATTCACAACCAAGTCCTGGTTCTGAAGGGATTCTAGCAGTTGAGCCTCACTTTTAGCACAAGTTATAATGACTCTTTGACATATCACTAGCTTGACAGGCACTTCTACTTCAACACACTAACTAGTGTATCTTCTGTTTGTTGCAGATATTCTGGATTCCTGGCAGATATCTCCCTCCCCCCACTTTGACTGGTTCAGGTGGCAAAGGATACAATGTGCTCTCCCTTGTCACTTAGACACATAACCCTGGGCAGGACATCTCCCTCTTGAAGACAGTGCCACAGGAGCTTGGAGGTAGCAACAAAGTCAGAGAGGTGCTGCGTGGGGATCCAGGCAACCACATTGCCTTCATCTTCTAAGATAGAAACTTCTAACCCATTATCTTTCTTCTTCAAGACTTTCACATCAACTATCTGAAAAGAGAATAATACAGCAATATAAAATTCCAAGTGTTTTTGAAGTTATCTCTTTTGATGCACAGAGTACCAAATGCTGTGCTGCAGGGGCTCTGACGTCACCTCCCAGGTATATATGAGAAATTCTCACATCAACAGGGCTGAGCCTAAAAAGCATGCCAGCATTGATAGTAAAATAAAAACTAATTCTCAGCTCCCAGAAAAATAAAGAGTTAGAAACATTCTCTTGGTTGTGACTTTTTATTTGAAGGGTGAAAGGAATAATGTAATCTAGAACTGTCCTGTTCCTGTATTAACAGTATCTGCAGGGAGTTGGAAAGTGTTCATTGCAAAGACAACAAGAAAGCGTTTCAAAACATTTCTCTGATGTTGTCTTTTTCCAGGGAGCAAAAGTAGCTGCTTTTGGAGTGAGAACATCAGCAGCATCCAGGAAAAAAACAGGACTCCACCTAGGAGTAGGAGCACTAAATGGTACATCTAGAAGGACTCTCCTGGGACTCCTTTATCCTCACCTCTGAAACCAGAGATGTTCTTTTTGATCCAGGAGGCCAACCACACAATAAGAAATGTACATTTAATGCTATTTCCTGACCACCATCAGCTTTCCTTGAAGTAAAGTTGTTCACAGTGACACCAAATCATATGGAAAATGAGTAGGAAAAGGTAAAAAAGGAATCAGTCATTGAATTCAATACCTCTCCTATTTGATATTTCACTTCCTGTTTTTCCTTTGAAGTACATTCCCTTTTGTCCTCAGGGCCAGACTTGCTTGATAACCTGAAGGACAACAAGAGTCTTTCCTGTTGGGGCTCACATTTTAAGACCATTACTTTAACAACCTGTAGCAAAAAAAAAAAAAAAAAAAAGATAAAAGAGAAGTTTAATTGAGGTTACTCTCCTCCTCAGTGTGCTACCACCTACAGAATGAGACAGGAAGATACATACACATACACACACCTCTCTCTCACACCTGAGGATAGCAGGTCACTGACTACAACTTAACAGGTTCAACCAGAGACTGAAGTCCTTCTAATCACACAGATAGAAAATGGAAGTACATAATCAAATGACTTGCTAAAAGTATGTAGCAGCTCTGTTGCAGAGTTGAGAATAAAATTCAGACCTCTGGATCTGCAGTCAGAAAACCTGACTAGAAAATTGCCTTCCTCCTTAGCCAGCCAAGAAACAGCAGGACTAAAGACAAACAAAAGCACCAGAAAAAAATAATGAAGATGGCTGAGATCACTATAAGCTTGTCCACAACAAAGACCAGAACTCGGTGAACATGGTTCCCAAAGTGCCTGGGATTTGAAACCAACAGGAAAACCACAATAATGCAGAGGCAGAAAACATCATCCTTATGAATCTGTAGTTAAGAGTTCTAACTTCCTTAGAAGCAACTGCAGCCTAGAACCCCGAAACTTCTACTGAGATCTAAGTAACTCAACCACATGTAGTCCCTGCATCACATACCATGCTGCCTCCCACATATCAGAACAGAGAGGGCCCAGAAAAAAGGCAAGCCTATGACATACTCGAAGATGAGCTGCCCTTTTTACAGCCTAATCTGCTTAAATGGAGTACGATTAAGTAGTTAAGTGAAAGGACATAAACATCTCTTGGTGTAGCTGGTTCCTCAGGGAAAAACCCACATTGGAATGAACTGCAGATTTCCATTTTGCATTCAAACACACAGCACAGCATAGGTACATTAATTACCTGGCCTTCATAGAAGACTTTATCTGGACAAGATATGGGTTCTGAGCTCAGCTCATTCTTGGGAACCAGACCTTTGACATCATTATAGAACTTCACAATGCAGCCAAATTCCCTTGCACACACCACAAAGCCATGTGTGATCAGACCTGGTTTTGCATCTTCATAATTTGTGAGGACTGGAAGCTTTGACTGGATGAGACTTTTCTTTAGAGTAAGGATCAGCTTCTTTCCTGCAGGATTGCACTCTAGCACCTGCAAGAATGGAGTACAAAAAGGTTCAAAAAGCATGTCGGCCCTTTCCTGATCAATCCAGCTGCTAAATACTCAGAACAGAAGAGTGCAAAGCAGCTGAAGATCCTGTCTGGCAGCTCTCACCCGACACTTGACTTCATCTCCTATGTTGTACTTCTTCTCAGGCTGCTTCAGGATCACATCAGCGAGATGGAGGGATGGCACAAGTCCTCTAATCCCATCAGCTACTTTCACCTGCATCCCAATGGGTTTCAGAGAAAGCACTTTGCCCTAGAACCCAAAACAGAGGAAACAATCAGCAAATTCAGCATGAAAAACAGACTCTGCACAGGTAGGTAGCAACAGCCAAGACACTACAGTACCTATTGTCACCAAATCTAATCACGTTCAAAAAACCGATAATCTTAGACCAACTTACACTTCACCCAACCAATCTGACCCATTAACTTTTATATACTCTGGTTGTTGTACAGCCTCTTCTCCTTAAACATAAGCTACTTCTGCAAAAGCCCTAATGACTCTGGAAAACTAGAACTGTTTCCATAGACATATCCAACACAGCCATGACTCAGACACAAGAATGATCATAACTGAATAACTTTCTGCCCATCAGCTGATTGTGATGGTTCATAAACCAACTTTTACTTAGAGTGCAAGGTGAGGTTTGGTTTCTTTCACCCAAGCCTTTCTAAAAAGACCATAAATAGAAGACTGACCATGGTTAAAATTTGATTGCCTTGGCCATATCATGAACAAAACCCTGAACAAACTGGGGGAAAGTATTGCATTCCATTAATGAAGTCCTGCAAGGAAAGGTTTTCTCATTTTCATCTCACTAATCTGCACTGTAAGTTGCACATACATATTAGACAGAAGAAATACTCATTAGCTACATCGTTGTCCTCAGTGTAATGGCCACACAGTACTGCATAAGTCCTTCAGAAACTCACCTCAACCACATCACCTGTGTGGATATCTTGGTATTGCAGAAACCGTGCTTCAATAATCTGACTAGGAAAGAGACACAAAGAGAAGACCAATCAGTCAACTTGAAACAAAGCAAGGATAAGACAACACAGCCCCCTCTTTGACTTGTCCCAAATATCCATTATTCAGCACACTACCCAGTGCTCTACAACTCCAAAGTTCTGTGTTTTACTCCAACTGACCTATCTCCCAAAATAGCTCTCTGGACATAAAGTTCAGGGAGGTTTACCCAGCTCCATTCCAGGTGACAGTCACACAGGTCTCCCCATGAAAGGAGAACCCATCATCTGCTTTGCTTAAAGCCACACAGATGGAAATACTGAGAATGAGGAGCCAAATGAGCTGAAAGATCAAGATTCAATTTCCTGTTCAGCCATAGTCTTCTGACTTGATCTTGGTAGAAGCAATTTAGCCTCCCTGTGCCTCAGCTCACCAACTATATAGATGGTGCCTCAATTCCAAAGAGTATGGCGAAGACATGCAAGATGCCTATACAACCTAATGTGACACAGAGATACAAGTCAAAACCCCCCAAATGGCAAGTTCCACTCCAGCAAAGCAATGTAATATCTTCCACTCTCAGCCACACCCTTCAACCAATTTTCTGTAACAGTCCTTGATACCTACTGCTTCAGAGATACAAGACACATCTCATCCATCAGGCTGTAGTCAATGATCCGACATTTGTGTTTGCATCCTGCCTTAAATGCCCCAGGTTTAAACGATTTTCTGTTCTTCGAAAGATGCTTCAACTAGAAACAAAGAAATTACAAGTTAGTGTTTGGAAAGTGGAAGCACCGATATAGATTTTAGGTTGAAGTGGCAGCATTTGACAAATTTGTTCCTCTAACATTCTCTTTGTGCAGCAGATTTTACCAGCTCTTCCACAACAGCCCTCATACATTTAAATTCAAACAACGGGGGATGTATGATTTGACAAATATCTTCCATGATATCTTAATTTGTTTGTAATGCCTCCCAAAGAGCACACAGGTAGAAAATAAAACCTCCTACTAGCCTGCTTTCCCAGAAGGCTTAGATAGATACGGAGGTCTTACCCCTGGTACTTACCCGTGCAAACGCAAGAGTGCCATCATCGAGCTCAAAGAGGGCACCAAACTGCTTATAGAAAGCTTTCACTGTGGACTCCTCCACCACGGCCCCCACGCGGTCACTGGAGAGCTGGTTGGGGGATCCCCCGGGGTGGAGGAAGGCCGGACGCAGCGTGAGCCGCACCGCCTTGGAGCCGGGGTGCACAGACAGGATGCAAGCCTTCACCTGGGAGAAGATGGTGTGTTCATGACACACAGATTTGTAAGCAAAACAGGAGAGAGGCACATCACTCATGCTTTTAGACATTCTGCTTGGTATCTGAACTCTTTGTCCACATACAAGCATTTTCCAGTATTAAACTAGGTCATCACTTCAGTTCTAACAACTTTACTGAGCAGGGATTTTTTGCTCTTGTCTATTGTTTACAGACTAGTCTGATTTTAATGCAGGGAGGGGAACATGACCACACAAGTTGTGTTTCTATCCCTTGCAAGTCTTTCAGGCTTTCTAAATAAGTCTTCCAGTAATCCAGGAATGGCTTTGCTCTTCACAGCTCTAAAGCAGCCATGATAGTAATTCAAGTAAAAGGTGGGAAAGAGAGCTACCAGTAGTAAGATTTCAGAGATAATTCCACAGAAATGTTGGAGAAGGTAAGAGATGGTGTAAGCAACATACCAACTCCAGCCATCCTCCACCCTCCTTACCACTTGATCTGGAGAATAGTTCATGGATTTCTCCGGGTCCATGTGCATGAAATCCACAATGCCAGTGAAGTAAGACAGAAATGTCAGTTTGATTCCAAACGGGGTCATCTAGGAAGGGGAAGGAAAAGGTGTCAAAAAAAATTTGCACTCAAGTTTTCATGCAGCACAAACAGAGAGCAGTTCACACAGTTCAAGAAAAAGCACTGTCAGTGTTAATCAACAAGCACATCATAGAGACAGGAAAACTGCTAAAAATTCTGCTTTGTACACTGTGTTGCGAAAACAATCCTTTAATTTTTTGATAATGCTGTGTGTACGCTGAAGACTACTGCTACCCTGTTGAATACTTTACCTAGGAAAAGGCCACAGAAGCACAAAAAGGATCCTGTTCTGCTTCAAACTTCATTACCAACTTCAGGTTGAAGTCTTTATACTTACGGCATCACAACCAGAACAGAGATCAGGCCTCAGGTGAATGTGGTGGAGGGAGTGTCTAGCAGATAATAATGTCTGCTGATGTTAAGAGCCCAAAAAGAAATGTTCCACACCATAAACTTCTGTCTCTGTTTCACCTGTCTCCTGCCTTCAACAAGGCTCAAAAGAAACACATTCAACAAAAGAAACCCAAACCAGAACTTACCTTCTGCACTCGAGCTTTCACCACTAGACCTGGTAGTAAGTTAGAGAGTGCCCAGTTCTGTTTCTCTGTGGCAAGGGATGCAGCAACCTCTGACCGATCAATGGACAAACGGACCACTCTGCCCTCGTTCTTCACTTCCACGATGACACAGGTCAGGTTCTGGCCTATTTTCAAGTCAGGCCCTACAAAGACAAGTCACAGCATAAAACCTCCACCAGGAACACTCAGGGATTCCTTTCCACTCTTTCCAATGCTTTTTCAGAGTTCCCTCTATTTTAAGAGGTTGTAACTCCTCTCAATCTAAGTGAAGTTTACTTCCAGCAGGGATGGATGGGCTTGGAACACTAATGTCATCTGTCAGAACCCAGACTGAAACACAAAGGCTTGCTGCAGACCAGTCACAAAACTGCTGTTTTCAGCAACCTGCAAAGACTCCACTTTGATCCAATCCCACCAAGGTGCACGAATACTATAGATGTAACACACTTCAATCCCTGTCATTATCCACCTCCATTTTAACCCCAACAGATCCTCCTGCACTTCTTACCTCTCTTGAGTGCTTTGATGTAATTTTTGGCTTTCTCATGAGGCAGGAAAGCATGAGTCCCACTGACTCCAATATCTATGAGGTAGCCATGGTCTTCCACACTAGATACAGAGCCAGAGAGCAGCTGTTGGGAGGGAAGCACTGCAACTCAGTAACATGACAAAACAGTTGAGTCTTCAAAGAATGCACATCTGGTAAGAGATTCCCCATCCAAGTACTCACTTGTTTTATATGGACAGAGAACTAAGTTTTCCAGAGCCACAGAAAGAACACTACATTCTTTCTTACTACACAGCTCATCTGGTAGTGAGATCTCAACTCTACCCTTATCCAACCATGCGTGTATGGAGATCACAAACCAGTAGGAAAAAACCTGTGATGCTCAAAAATAGCAGGTGCTCTAATTGCAGGCACATGCCTACAGTCATACAGGTACAAACACAAAACCTAAACAACCAGCACCTCTGCAAGGCACATTGTATATTACTCTCCGCAAAAATAACAAAGAAGCCTACTCAAGAAGAAATAATTAAATAACTTGTCCATACTGAAACAGAATCAAGTGAATGGATTTCATGAGTGACAACCTGAAGACAAGAACCAATACCACCCTCTCCCCTCCAGGTCTCTTCCACGGTGGGAGCAGCTCCACATGCTGCTCTGACCCCATGCAATCAAAAACTAAAATGTTCTCCACAAACTGTGCAAGAGCCTAGAGGGGCTGTGACAGACCCAGAAAACATACCATGCCTGTTGCTAGGGCTAAGGCATTCAGGCCCTTATTGACCTTCTTGGGGTCAATCGATAATTTGATGCTGCGACGTCCATCATCACTTTTCTCAACGCTGGTCACGATGCACCTGACCAGTGTCCCTGGAGAATACACGTCCGAGAGCGAATTCAAGCCCTGCCCAGCAAGATGATCAAGAGAGAAACACACAAATTTTACAATATCAAATAATATAAGAAGGCCAGAATTTATTACTGAAGTAGCTTTTGAAAACAAAATCCATTAGGAAAGTCCTGTTTCTCTGTCAAAGCTACAATAAAAAGCAGGAAATGCCACAAACGGCAGGATCTCAACAGAGAGGCAGGGATGACACTGTGTTATGTCAGCAAGACTGACAGGCTTTGCTTAAAAACGAACACTGGAGTTCAGGAGACTGCAGCTGAGGAAACATCTCCAATGTTTCCTTATTGGAGGAAACATTGTTTCCTCCTCCTCATTGTTTCCTCCAGTGACCCTACTCTCATCTCCCTCTTTAGCAGAGAAAAACACCACCATCAACAGGGTAGTGCAGATCCCACATCCAAAACACCTTGGGAAAACTTATGGACCGCTGACACCACAGACAGGGTAACAGATTACTCCATCCTCTTTCTTTCTAGCAATCAGCCATTATCAGGATCATTGCAAAGTTAGCTTGGAAAAGCAGGTTCCAAAACAAGGTCAGCCTATGTTAGCACCACGCAGCAGCACATGGCACGTGCCAACACACAACTAAACTGCAAGGACCATGTTCTTCCCCGGGCCCCTGAGAAATGCTTCCACCCTCACATCATTTTCCAGTCAACTCCCTAACTTCCTCCCATTGTTGCCTACAGCCAGGGATCAGTATTTAGCTTCAGCAGCAGAGAAGTAACAAAAAAATCTCTTTATGTTCAACAGGCTTTTTACAAAGCTCAAGGATTATTTAGCCAAGACTAAGGGCTGCAGGTGATCAAAATCAAGTCAGCTGTGAGACTGGTGACCAGACATTAGACTCCTGAGCAAGACCTCAGGGTTGGTTCTGAGGTATTAACACTCCTTAGCTCCAGGCACAGATCACAGCCCCAGTCCAAGGTCTTACCTCTGGGAGTTCTCCTTGGGCCACCTGCTGGCTCAGCAGTTTGCTGTAGGCATCGCTGATCTGCGTGATCGGCACAAATCCCAAAAGACCATTGGGCAAACTGATGACCAGCTCGTAGTCAGTGATCTCCTTTATACACCCAAGGAGAAGCATGTCCTCACACAGCGCCTGGGAAAGCAGAAAGAATGGCACACTATGGACATCTTGGCAAGCCAGTGATAACAGGATGATAAACACGGTTTTGTACGGAATCACTGACACATTTTACATATTTAGGGAGGAAGAAAATGCCATTTTTATGCAGCCCAGAAAAGAGATGCACACAAATTCAAAAACTTATGCACCAACCTGAATTGTGAGTGGTCCAATATTCACAACATCGTCTTTAGCGGTGGCTGTTTTGTCTGCCTTGAACTTTTTCTGCTTTCCTTGATCCTTTTGGCTCCTTTTTCTTTTCTGGGATTTTTCTTCATGGTGAACCTAGCAGTTTATAAGCAGAGAGGGAGAAAATAAAAGTGGATAAAGATATAAACTTTGCACTAAGGCAGAACTCTGCTGCCATGAATAAAATCAGAAGAAAATACTAGGACTAGAGGAAAAAAGAGAACCGCCTTGCTATATGTCTGTCTACATGCAAGTCTTACAAAGTATCTTCTTTGGACTGAGGCTGATTATTTATAAAACTGTGAATCTTGGGAATGGAAACAAATGATCTGCACTACACTCTACTAACAGAAAGAGAAAGACCAAATTTAGCCTATATCCAGTAACATCAGTCTCGCTACACTACTTTGGGATAAGATGCTTGTGGAAAGTTTAAAAGCTAAAGCCTGATCAACAATTTTCACTGAAATTTCTCTGTCATCACGTTCAACATCCATCAGACATTAGGGATCTTAAAGAGATCAGGAGAAAGGTGAATGTCAGCAGCAATCTATTCCTGGGAGTGCCTTCTGTAGTTTACTGTAGAAATAACAGGTAGGAAGGATTGCAGGTCAAATTCTGACAGCAGAAGAGCTCTGAGAAGTTAATCAAGAACATGCAAACAACGTACATCAAACAAATTGTCCTGCTCTAACTTTGGCTTGGACGTTTTTCTCTCTGCAGGTTTTTTCTGGATACCCCCTCGAGGAAAGTTTTCTTCCAAAGACGCCATCCTTGCACTGCTATGGGACAAATGGCAAAACAGAGATGAAATGTACAGTTGTTACACTTGTTCCTCACAAACACCGAAGAGACATAAGAGTGCACTATACCCAAACAAAGAAAGTTTTTGGATGGCTGCTCCACGAGTAGTCAGTGACAAAACAGCAACTCTTATCCAAATGTATTTAACATTTGACTACACTGAAGTATTACAGTAGTCCATCTAAATATGCACATCCCTAGCACTTTTTACTATTGTCCAATTCTACTAAACTGAAGTATTAAAGTATTAATTTCTAAGGCATCTAGATGCACCGAATATGTATTCATAAGACTGCTTTAACCATAAATTTCCTAAAGCAATATTTATTATAGTCAGTGGACAAGTTGAAATTAAGAGGTTCAGTCATCAAGGAGAAAGCTGTGAGCAAAGCACTACTTAAACTTGGTCTGCATTTTTACTTTTTGGATACTACTCATAAAGGTTAATATAATTTGATACCTCTTTGTGCAAGCTGCAAGTATATGTGCATAGGTACACAATGGATGTTTAACCTTACTGTTTCAATCCGTAAACAACATCTTATTTATCAGGTCACAAGGAACACGTTATTACTAATAATAAATAACAGTAAGCAGTAATAGTTGCAGCTATTCTTATTTATTACTTATACTGTTATTATTATTATGCTCATGCTATTATTTATACCATTATTATTAACCAACAGTACTTCTACAGAAATCAGCGCTGAAACACTATGCTGTCTGTAAGACATATGAAACTCCTGTAAACGTGAAAACACATGACAAAACTAAAGTTCATCAAGGCACGCTTCACCTAAGGGCTCGCCAAGCAACACAGACAGCTCCTCACGGCCGGCAGCAGAGCCCCATTGGAGCGGCAGAGCTGACACTCTTACCTGTCCCGGGTCGCTCCCGTGGGGAAGCCCGGGCGAGAGGAGCACGATCGGCGCCGGGATCGGGAGGCGCACGCGGAGCGCCGGCCGGAAGTAACGCAAAGGGCGAAGGGCAAAGGTCGAGCGGAAGTGGCGTCACTGCCCCTCGGAAAAAGGGGGCGGGGACGACCCGCTCCCCGCATGAGCTGCAGCCAATCGGCGCGGGCTGGGGCGGCTGCGCGCGCGCCGCTCCGCGGCCGCCATCTTGTGGGAGGGCGCAGGCGAAGGGCAGGACGAGGCGGGCACGGCGGCGGCGGCGGCCGAGGTACCGTGGGGCAGGGGGCGGGGGGCGCCCCGGGGCTGGGGTCGGTCCGGTACCGCGGGGTGGGAGAGCGGCTCTTCGCAGCGCCGGGCCGAGGCTGTTCTCTGGGGCACCCGCGACCTTCGGCGGCTCCGTCCCTCCCTCCGTATCCGCGGCGCCGCCGCGTCGCTTCCCGGCCCGAGGCAAATGTGGGGTCGCGGGTATCAGGGCAGCCGGCGTTGTCAGGGGTCAGGGCAGCAGGGCAAGGGCACCCGGCTCCTCCGGGAAATAGGGCCCGTGTGGTGCTTTCTCGCCCTCGAAAGGGCGCAGCGGCGCCTTTCCAGGCTTTTACATCGGTCAGGCACGAGAAAAGATGACCTTGGCTCTCCAAAGTCTTTCCAGGTCGTGTGCGGCAAACGTTTAGGGGGCTGTTTTATTAAGGTTTTTAGCTATGACATAGTCAGTTGAGTTACCTTTACCTGGTTATACGACAGAAGTAACACTACTGGATTTTGTTAGATAAGAGATAGATAATACATAAGGGCTGTTTTAGTGAGCACAGCATTGGCTGTGTAGTTTCTTGTGTCTTCCTCGGGAGTACTGGGGACTGCGGCATCTGCCGGGTTTGGCGGGTAAGTGGGGGGGTGTGATGCTCTTGGGCTGAGTCAGAAAATAAACAACAAATGTTTGTCCTATACGTAAAATCCTCTTAAGAAAAGCATATCTCTAAACATTAAAAAACCCCACCCAGCAAACACTGGAACGGGTTCCCCTGAGCAGTTATGGAGTCTCCATCTCTGAAGATGCTAAAAGCCTGACTGTATGTGTTCCTGGGTGACCTGCTGTAGACTGTGCAATCTGCAGAGGTGCCAACCTGAACGTGCCAGTGAACCTGCAATTTGCTGCTGCTGCAGCCACACTAGGCTTTTGTGTTTCTGAACTTCTTAGAGCAGATCTGAAACTTTAGTCCAGACACGGATAAAATACAAAAGTCTGCCCTCCTCTTAGTGGTTCTGGTGTTCCTGTGAAAGCACTTCTAAAGCTCTGTAGCTGGCTTAAGTAATTTTCTGATCTGAAAAGTAACTGGGGGAAAAACAATGTTTTTATGCTGGGATGGGCAAGTAAGATGCAATAGAAGTGTGCAACTGAGAGCAGAGTAGTTCTTGTTAACAATCCTTGCGCTCTACTTTGGTGTAAAAGTCGCAGAATGGCGTTTTGAATCACAAACAGAAGTGGTCTATCCTGCATCTTGTCATCAAGTTTTTGAGTATGTAATTGAAGCTGTTTCTTAGCTGAACTAGTGAAGAATTGATCTTAGTTGAATGTTGCAGATTCCAGAACAGTTGGTAGAAATTTGTCAGAGTTCAATGGTTGGTAGGCGGGACTGGCAAGTCTCTTCTTTATAAGTGCTTTGAGGAATTTTCCCTTTTATAATCATCATCCTGGCTTTTTTTTTCATGTTTAAACTTGATTGAATGAACTCTGAAAATCATAAATGTTCTTCCTTTCAGAACCCCTCATTTGCTTATCTGCTCGTGTCAGCTGTTTTGTACCTCAAAATACAGTGCTCTGGATGTGCCTGCTCCTTTATGTGTGTCCCCTGCTTGTTGAGTGTCCTGAAAGCAGGTTTAGTAGCTGACAATGGAATGGGGAAGCTCAGTGTAGAGATGGATTTGATTTTCCTATCCTGTCCAACTGACTTTAAATTAATTGACTGTCCTGTATTGCTTGTTAGGACAAGCAGCCATGGCTGGCCATGACTCGGGATCTCAACACCAGTTCACTGGATTTCAGAAGTACTTTAATTCCTATACCATCATAGGCAGAAGGAATGTATGTATATGTACATTAAGTTTTGTAGTCTAGTATAATGGTGTTTTCTGGGATTTAGACTGAAACTAAATTTAACTTTGTTTTCCAGTATGTAATAGCAACGTACACAGCTGTTGCACTCATCGCCCTGTATTTCAAGTTTAGGCCTAAGAAGCAAACTCCTGCTGTGGCAGATAAGTAAATGGTAAGTGGCTGATGTTGTTCCAGGACCAAAATGCTTCAATGCCAGCTCAGGACGGAGTGATGAAGGACAAGTTGCCAGTAAGACAATGCAGTGAGAGAGAGAGAAACACAGGCATGTGAACTTTGTATTTATAATTTTAAACCTCAGATAAACTATAGCATCTACTTATTTGGGGGCATTCTGGATGAAGCGAGCTATTAAAGGGAGTGTAGAAAGTATGGCATACCAGTATGTATCTTTTTCTTCTGACATGGTAGATGGGACTGGGGCAGGATGCAGGGAGGAAGAGTAAGCAAGGAAGGAGGACTGGAAGGATCTTGCATTGAGGTCTGCCTATGACTATTAGGTGCTTCTGGTCTGTCCTTTTGCTGTAAAATAGGGATAACTTGCTTTATAGATTATTGAAATAATAAAGTAGTACTTGAGGACTTACTTCTTGGTTGTATTAGAATTCCAAATAGAGATTAATGCATTCTGTTAAAACCTTTCTTTGAACCAAGTAAAGGAGCACTGTATAATGGAACTGTGTATGTTGCACCCCTCATTATTCAAGGCTCATGCAGAAGTGACTGGACTTGTATAGCAACAACACAGTGTTACAAAATTTTGGAGTCACTTTCAAATACAGGATTTCCACTCAAATGGCATTTTCATGACAAAATGCAAGCTATGGGCTGTCCTCATAGCCTGCAAAAAGGGATATAACACGATAAGCTCGAGCACTGTTGTTGTGTGTTAAGGGGACATCAGTCACTTCTTCCTGAGTGTGCTGAAATGTTTGCTCGTAACTAAAATTGTTTGGGCCTGGTGCAGGGGGATTCTCAGTTACCGCCGTGCAAGACTTGCTATGTTTGATCTCTGTTCTCTTGGCAGGTTGCTGGCATGTCTGAACCTCCAATCTATGTCACTGTAACGCAAGCTGATGGCCTGTTCTGCTAATAAAATATAAATAATTACTTGTTTTATTGGAAATATGAAATGGTGCAAAAAAGCTTATGTGTGGCACTTCTTTTTCTTCTTGTCAAAAATAATTATTTGTAGTGGAGATGGAGCAGCTGATCCCTATCACTGCTGTTTAGGATGTGTTTCAACAGCAGCAAACTTAAGGTGTTCTGAGCTCCCAGCAGTAACCTAGGAAGTGTTCAAGGGCTTTTTTTTTTTTCTTAAAGCCATTTGTACGTGCTGGCCCTGTTGAACAAACCTAGTTTTCCTTTCCTATGAGCGTGTTTGCTGCACAGATGGCTTCAGCTGTATTCCATGTTCTGGCTGAATCATGGTGGTTGTAACAGCATAATAAAGTAGCTAGAACCTGTCACCCACCTTTACAACAATATTTACATGACATGGCTACTCATCAATGTAACCATTTCTGGTTACTTTGTTTCTCTTAGCAGAGTGCTCACAGTTCCAAGCACTGCTCTTGCTTCCATCACAGCCATCAAGGGAAGAAAGTATCTTTGTGTAACATACAGGCACAAGCTATGTGGTTTTAGTATTTATTGTAATATCAAAAGTATAAAACTGTACAAAATACAAAGGCAGAATGTGGCAGTGTTTTCTTTAAGCTGTCAAAAAATTGTACTTAAATCCAACTGGTTATACTGAGAGCTAGGAAATTTTGTTGAGATACCATTAGACAAATAAAATCATAATGATTTAATTTTAACCTTTTTTCTTTAAAGAAAATTTCTAAGTGAGCTTTCTAGTGACTTTTCCACACTTTATTTTGATGTATAATGCCTGCAGAATACCTTTACTCCAAGAGTTAGAGCCAGAGAAGAGATGAGAGGGGAGGTAGTTTTCCATTTACTCGGCCTTAGAAATGACACGTTTTTATTTTCATTAGAGAGCCAGCAGAGTGTTTAAGTGTTCAAGCCCTTCCTGGGAAGTGATGAGGAACACACAACAGATTTCCCTGCATACATCTTGTAAGAGATTGAAAATGAGAACAAACCCACACCACACTGGGCCTGGCCTTTAGTGGTGGCAGTTTCTGTTCAAAATCAGACACTACTTCTCAATGTTCTGCATGTTTCACTGTTCTTTAGAAATAAACCACTGAGCTTTATTGGTTGCTCAGGAGGACTCACTGTGGTACAATGCTTTTGTGGGTGGAAACTGTCACTTAAGCAGACAAGCTGGCCTTTCAAAAGCAAACTGGTCATACACTTATCCTTTCACTCTGCTATATTGTTTCAATTTCTTAGCTTTCTTACATTTTTTATGTTAAACCTTATGTAGAAAGGACACAGGTTTCTAAAGTTCTTTTAGATCTAATACAAAGTAAAGGGTTTAAGTCCACTTTTTTAATAGTGAGTATTTCAGTTGTGCATCAGTCCCCCTTTTTATTTTCTCATTCAATAAAGTATGAAAGTAAATAAAGTTCACATTGGTTGCTTGTCACACTGACAGTACTGGCTACCTGTGAAAAACAGAGTAACAAGATCTGTGTTTCTGACACCTCAAAAGAGCACAAGAGTTTGAAATCTTTTCAGGACTTAGCACTTGGCTGATAACACCTGTGCCCGGAGCTTCACGGCTGTTCCATGACCACAAGCATTGGAGTGTCAGAGCAGCTCCGCCCTGGTTGTTGCTGTGATCCTCTCACCAAACCTGCTGCCCAGCACAGGATATAGTGAATCAAATTACAGTCTTCTTTCCTGAAACTGGACAGTTTTTGCTTGTGTTTGAGACTGATGAAACATTTACTAACCATAAATTAAGTGTTTTAAAAAAATCATCAAGGCTGTTAACTTTTCACAAGTTTCAGCAGAGCTCAGTACCATCTCTGAGAGGAGACAGCTCATTTCATATATACATATATATCAAAAGCACCACGAACAGTTCCTTCTTTTACAGCCATGATGTCTTGTCAATCTCCAGCAGTTTCAAACTGCAGATAAATGTGAAACAGCAGAACTGAGAAACGCTGCCTGCATTAATTTGCACAGTTCCATTTTCCCTGCAACAAACTCGTGGAGATCCTTCTGTACAAGACATTTCTCCTTGTCTCACATCCTGAGGTCAGTTCTGCAATGCCCTGGCACAGTCCATCTCAGCTTCCCAATTTACTGTGAACTGTAGGCTCCCGCAGCCAGCAGCAGGTTCCTGCGTGTGAAATGGAGATGAACAACTGGGGTTGATTTGGTCATGTATGTACCCAGTAACAAGTCCTGTGAGTTTTCAGGCAAGTTTATGTGTCCAGTGGCTGTAGTAAAGTCATCAGTTTCTAAATCTTCAAATGCCTTCACAGCATCCCACAGACGAACTGTGTTATCCATTGAACCTAAAAAGAAAAAAAAACCCACAACAGTTTATAGGTATTTTATTAATAAAATGGTATATAAAAAATGTTGCTGGGGAGCATGTTAACAGAACTAAAAGCTCTGAAAGCAAGAGGCTATAGCAAGCATCTAACATACTGCATACACACATAAAAATTACCAGGATTTCAGCTTTCCTGTAGTCTAAGCTGCTGCCCTGTAGACAAAGCAAAAAGAACTGCTCTCAAAACACCTGGGTTTGGATCAAATCACCTACTACTGAAAAAGCAGGACCATCCTGTGGGCTGGTCCTCCTTTTCAGTGGTAGGTGATGTGATCCAATGATCCAATGCCAACTGCAGGTAAAGTTTATGATTTTAAGTCACATAATAAGAGTTTCTTTGTATGGTATACAGTGGGAATACAGTGGAATTTTGCAAGCTCAGTGGCCTGTGCTTTCACTGGAGCACTGGCAGATAAACTGGAATAACCACTAAGCAGGCTGGATCAAACCTGTACCCTATCTGTTAGCTTTCACTCCTGCAGCAGTAGCTCCCAGAGGAATCTCACTGCACTGTATTTAGGAACATATTACTAAACAAATCTAGAATATTCCTAGCCTGGTTTCATGAGGAAATTACCCTCATGTAATTAGTGTCTGTCCATCATTTCTTCAACTTATTGGCTAATTTCAAGCAGTTGACAAAACAGACTAAGTTTCAAATTCATGAAAGAACTACACATTTTAAAAAAACAGTTCACTGAACATAGACAAAACTTTGTGCCTCCATAAAGGGAAAACTGGGAAAAAGGAGCTCTAATATATTAGACACCAGAGAACCCATGTGGACACAAGCAAGCTTCACAAGTTCTGCTGCTCACAGGCCTGTTCATTAATATTATGTGCCCATATCTACATCAAAAATCTACCATGAAGAAATAGTAAGGGTGTGGATAACTCATATTCCTTTCTATCCCTTCCTCTTTCTTTAGTCCTTCTGCATTCCCAGTCCCATCCCATTCCAGTATCCTGCACCTCTCTAGTCCAGCCACTTTTTGTCTGCCCTAGGGTTATTGCTACAGATTCCACCCCCAACACTGTACAGATTCACAACCTTCACTGTCATCTAAGTGCATAACACCTTCAGTTCCTGGAAGGGTGAGGGGTCACACTTCAGTGAAGTACTCGCCTTTGTACCAGCAGTTTTCAGTTGCTGCTTTTGCTAAGCAAGTGATTCTTCTTTGTCTTTCTCAATTTAAGGAACCAATTATATCATTCCTGTTCAGACTTATGGAACACGATGGAAACTTCACTGTTTCTGGTGAATTTTACCTGATGCTAAAATCTCCCCATCTCTACTGAATCTGAGCGCGTAGATAGTGTCAGTGTGCCCTTTCAATTCGCCAACCATCAAGCCATGTCCAATATCCCATAGCAGAACTCTTCCATCTGTTGCTCCAGTAGCCAGGAATCTTCCATTAGGGGAAAATGCCAATGAATGAATTGGTCCCTAAAATAGACATTGAGGGGCAACCAAACAAGTTAATTAAGTCTACTCACATTCAGTCAGTCACACTGTGTTTGTTTGAAACAGTATTGTTTAGAATCTCATCACAGAAATAAAATCTCTTTTACACTGAATGATATGGCTTTACCTTATGTCCAGTGAATATTCTTACACAATTCCCATTCAAAACATCCCAGAGCCGTATAGTCCTGTCTGCTGAGCCTGTGGCAATATAGTTGGAATTCGGATGAAATCGGGTACACGTGACATCAGCAAGATGGCCAGCAAATATCCGTAGTGGCTGATAGTGATCTGTTGCCCACAGACTGAAAAGAAAAGCTTTATTAATAAAAAGAACCCTAAAGAAGTTCAGTACCTGTCCCTGTGGGTGCAGCTCCAGAAGAAGCCACAAACATGCTCAGAGGGCTGAAGAACCTCTCCTATGAGGAAAGGCTGAGAGAGTTGGGGCTGTTCAGCCTGGAGAAGAGTTGCCTCTGGGGAGACCCTATTGTGGCCCTTCAGTACTTGTAAGAAATGTGAGGACAGACTTTTTATCAGGGCCTGTTGCAACAGGACAAGGGATAACAGTTTTAAACTAAAGGAGGGTAACTTTAGACCAGATAAAAGAAGACATTTTTATAATGAGGATGGTGAAACACTGGCACAGGTTGCATAGAGACGTGGTGGATGCCTCATCCCTGGAACATTCAAGGTCAGGTTGGACGGGGCTCTGAGCAACCTGATCTTGTTGAACATGTCCCTGCTCATTGCAGGGGAGTTGGACTAGATGACTTTAAAGGTCCCTTCCAACCCGAACTATTCCGTGATTCTACGACCTGTAGCTCAGTGAGAAATAAAAGTAATTATGTAGTGATTTCATACAGGTCATTTTATTAAATTACCAGGAGATTTATTTTTTTTAAAAAAATATACCTCAGAAGTGAGAAATAAAGAATATTCTGTCAAGCTGGTAAACAACTGGAAGAGAATACTTCTAATCAGAGGAGTCACATTAGAGGACATCATCTCTTTAGTCATCAGATAATATGATGTGTGTTGAAAAAAATAGTAAAACTACATTGAAACATTTCTTCAGTATTTTAACTGACATGAAATAAAATTAATTTTCAGTAATAGGGTAGACTAGAGTATATCAGCAAATCACTTTCAGGGTTAATCCACCACAAACTGACCCAGACAAATAAAAAACACATCCAGTTTCTTACCGAGCCACTCTGTCGTGTCCCCCTGACACAAAGTAATAACCATAAGGAGAGAACTGTGTATCCCATACTGGATAGTTGTGTCCTTTATATCCCACCAAACATGTGAATGTTTGGAGACTCCACAATCTGACAGTGCCATCCTCAGAACAGGACAACAGATAGTTCCTGTCACAGGAGAAAAGTACAGTGTATTACATATCCAGCTACACTGGGGCTGTGTAACCATTGCATAAACACTGCAAAATGTCCATGATAAAACTGTCCCCTGAGCAGCACCTGTTTAGCATGTCACACATAAATCAGCATTTTGGTGGGGTAAGCAACAATAACCAATTCAAGCAAAATCCAGTCCTAGGCCCTTATGCAAAAGAGAAGATTGGACACTGATGATTAATTCTGTACTGAGGGGAGAGAGAAAACCCCCCACACACCACAGAGTTGGTCTTTACTCAGGAATTCCAGTTATATGAAAACATTACTAGTAAACTGCTATGCTATGTTACTTTTAAAAAATCTTTTAATGTAACTCTGAACAAAATTTCAGGATTTCTTGAAATAGAAATCATATCGTGTTCACATTCTCAATTAATAATTATAGACTATGAACACATAGTCTATAATGTTCCACTCAAAGTTCACTTATCAGCTGTGTTTCTGTGATGGTTGTTT